GGCTCTGCCCTAGTCACACTGCACCCCACAGTTCAATACGTAACAAGCATCATCTGCAATGAGGCCATCTTCACATACATTTTAGGATAATGTCTTTGGGTAGATATTAAACTCTACTCTAGCAAGAGAGCTATGAGTAATACTACTACTTCATAAGGAAAACTAAAACTACACTTATGTCTGAAGACATTCATAATTACTTGCTAAATATTTTTAGTTCCTTAAAAATGATATTTAGAACTTACTTCTTACACATTTACTTCAAAGTACACTATTGTGCTGTTATAGAAATAACCTTTAATTCAAAGGAGATAAAAAATTTCAAGTTTAAAGTTTTGAGACTGAACATAAAATACTTCAAATAAGAAATTTAAAATCACCCTTGTTCATTCTGCTTAGAAGTATCATTACAACAATAAGTTAAAATCAGTTTTGAATCTATTATTTTCCCTATTTTAACTTCTCCCCCTCTTTTGCAATTTCCTTAACTATGTGTTCCTTCCCTACAATGAAATTACACATGGGAAGCATGCCAAAAGTACAATAAAGGGTAACTAATCATTACTGTACAAGTCTGACAGAATGCTAATAACTAAGATAAGAACACTGATTGGCTGTTTTACCACTCTAAGAGATGAAAATATTTTATATACTCTTAGTCTAGTGCTAATTTAAAGATGCTTAATTATATGACAAAATTTCCAAGGATATCAAACGACATTTCTTTTTCCTGACAGAAACAATTATCAACACCAAAGCTCAAATATCCAACACAAGTACACACACACACACACACACACACACACACACACACACACACACACACACACTCACACCATACATAGGTGAAAAACCACCAAAAACTTCAAAACACCTAGAACAACAAGAACAAAAACACCCGACCCAAACCACAAGCACTCATATTAATTTTTGTTTAGCCTATCTTTCGCATCCCCGAGTACAGTGAGTTTGTCATGTTAATACGCTATCTCCATAGATACCTATCATGCCTGCTGTATCTGAATGAATAAATGAGTGGGTGAGTGAGTGAGTGAGCTAAACTGCCCTTAGTCACACAAGCACCATTTCAACTCTGTCTTAGGCACTCCAGAAATAGTACTGGTCATGGTGGGAAAACTGATGTGAGTCTTGTGTAGTTTATGCTCCCAAGAAATGGACAAGCATGTCTCTGCCTTAAACTTAATCCAAGAGAGGATACTGCCAAGTGGTTTTCATTAAAAATGATCAGGGAGCTGAAGACCTCCACTCTTTCTGCTGTGGGTAGTGGCAGCCAGAGTTTCGAGCATGCCAAGCTGGTGCCCCCTCTGAGCTGCTCTCTCAGTCCTTCCATTGCATCAGCACACTGAACATTTTAAATTTCTGACAGCTCTCTCTGCTCAGATGATCAGTTCTGAAGGTCTCTCAAGTAATACACAGTGCTGATGATGATTGCTAACATTTCCTGAATGCCCACGATGTGTCAGTACTTGGTGTTTTTCATCCTCTGAATTGTGTATTTTTGGGCCACATTTTTATAGATGAAGAAGCTAAGACTGAGAAAACTAACTAAGACCAAGTAATTTATTGAGCATTTCCACCTGCAAAAGCACATTATTATTTTTTTTTAAATTAATTGAATACTGCTTTGTTCCCATCTTCCTTAATTCAATTCTAAGCCAGTATCTTTATGGAATAAGCAGCTTAGAATGGTAGCTAAGTGAACATGAACTAGAAAGGAGCTGCTCAGGTCTAACTTCTGCTGTGTATCTTGAGAAAAGAAAACAGCATCAGCACATAGTAGAAGGATTACATGAGTTACTATCTAAAGAGTGTAGGACTACAAGTGGCCTACGGTAATCACTTCACAAATTTCTATGAAACAATCTCAATCTTTCAGTTTTGTATATTCATATGCTAATTTGTGTGTGTGTGTGTGTGTGTGTGTAAGTGCACGTATGTGTGTGTAGAGGACAACTTTGGGTGTCATTCCTTAAGCATCAACCACCTCTACCTTCTTTTTTGAGACAGGGTCTGTCACCGAGACTTGGGGCTTGCAGCCAGTCTGGAGGGTCCACTTGTATCTTCCTCCCCAGTGCTAGAATGACAAGTGGGCATCACTGCATCTGGCTTTTTACGTGGGCTCTGGGGACCGGACTCAGGTCTTCATGCTTACTGACTAACCACCTCCCCAGTGCTTCTGATTGAGCTTCTAAGCGAACTGCCACCAGTTCTTACTCTCTCTGCTTTCCCTTCCAGTCTTTGTAAGTTATCACGAGTTTTATTCCCTACTTATATCATACCTGATTTGAACAAATTGTTAAGTTACATTTGCTGAATGTATTGATACAAAAACAAATACATAGTTTCTTGCCCCCCCCCCCCTTTTATAGTTTCTCGAGACAGGGTTTCTCTATGTACCCACTGTGGCTGTCCTGGAACTTGTAGACCAGGCTGGCCTCGAACTCACAGAGATCCACCTGCCTCTGCCTCCCAAGTGCTGGGAATACAAGTGTACACCACTATCACCTAGCTAAATATATAGTTTTTAAGGCAATTTTTTTTATAAACCATTGATAAGCAGGGCTAGAAACATGCCACTGTATGATAGCTTTGTAGAACTGTGAGGAAATGAGAAATGTTAGAAGGTGGTGGGTGGTTTTACTAAGATCATTTTTCTTTCAGAGGAACAGTTATAGTGCTTAACTTTAAACACACCACCTGTCTCACCTTAAATCTTGTTATTTCTATTTCAATATGTTAAAAAGCATAAATTTAAAGAATACTGTTTTACAAAGGCTTAAACGTCTCTACCCTTTGACTACCTGTCCTTGTCATTCAACCATCTGACCTGTGGTGTAGAGGGGCTGACATGACAACTCCTACGAGTACTACTGTTGTTCCTTGGAACACAGGCTAAAGGAGTCTGTCAGAGACATCATCATGGTGGATGGGAGCTTTGACAGTAGCAATCACTTGCAACATAGCCTTTTGTTTTTCCTTAAAAAATTTTCATAGTATTTTAAAAATAAATATAAAATTGTTATTTCACAACTGTTTTTCTTTACTTGTAATTTTGCAAAAGAAAACATATCCACGTATTTGTCCCTTGTCAAGAACGAAACTTTTGCCTAATCTTTCACATAATCTAATTTGTTGAGGACTTTGCAATGATAATTTTGTCCTTAAAAGTACTAAATAATAGCGGTGTTAGCCAAGAGCTAAGCTGTAGGTTTTGTGATGGCTGAGAAGCTATGTGATGTAACTATAAAGATGGAAAGGGCTAGAATCTGAGGGAAAAAATGGGCCCTGTCATTTATCAATTGGATCACCTTGGGAAGCAGAACTGAGCATCTCACAGAGCTGTGGTAAAGATCCATGGACAGAAAGGCGCTGAGATGCTAGTGCCTTGTAAGTAGCTGCAGGGCGAGTATGAAGAGTTGAACTTTCACCTGTAGCTTCAGAGCTATCATCAAAATCAACAAGCTCACCATCTGTAACCAAGCTATTATTGAAGTATTTATTTGAAAATAACATGATGAACAATGAAAACATTACAAGCATGTAGAGCATGTTCAGCACTATTGGAGAAAGGAGTTTCCCTCCAATATTTCTACAGATTCAAGATCATCATAGTAATAACATAAAAATACATAATATTTTGTTATTAGATAATGAAAACATAGCTTATGTTTAAGAATTATTTGTTAAGGGCCTGCAAAGGAAACCCAAGCTAACCTATCATGTTTATGAGAAATAAATTCTCCTGGCCAGTGAGTAGAAATTGTCTTGTTATTTATGCCTCAGTTCTCAACCATGGCTTTGAGATACGTGTAGCATTACTATATATAATTAATGCAACTCAATGGTATTTTAGTGCATTTAGCATTTGTTGGAATGGTCTAGGTATGATAAAACAAAAACATATATGTAGTTTCAATAATTAGGTATTAGAAATAATCTTCCAAGGGAGAATCAATATTCCTTCAACTCACATTTACTGGTCATCTATCTAGGAAAAACCAGGCATTGTGCAAAGAAGTTTTTGGTCATACTAATATTACATTGTTATAAAGCCACATGAAGTCTGGCCTTGCCTCCATACAAGACTGTAATGTATAAGATATTTAAGATCACATGAAATCACATGTTTGAGATGATAAAGCACTTTGGTAAAAAAAAACAAAAAAAAAAAAAATGTACTGCTGCTCATGATGGCTCACATCTATAATCCCCGCACACCAGAGGACTGCCTCAAGGGCCACAGAGTACAAAGAGGACCAGTGAAGTCTCATCACACATTTACTTAATGAATAATTAGAATGGTGGAAACCAGAAGTTGTTCAAAAACACAAATCAAAATTGTGTACAAAATTAAAAGAGGAATATGTTATTTCATGAAAACAAGAAAAGAAATGTACAAAATATTTAGAAGAAAATAGGAAAAGATCTTAAGAGAGGCCAAGATCAATAAAGACTGAAGGCTAATGGAAATGACCAATTAAAATCAATGAAACTCATCAAGATTGAAACTTTTTTTTTTTTTTTTTTTTGGTTTTTCGAGACAGGGTTTCTCTGTGTAGCTTTGCGCCTTTCCTGGAACTCACTTGGTAGCCCAGGCTGGCCTCGAACTCACAGAGATCCGCCTGGCTCTGCCTCCCAAGTGCTGGGATTAAAGGCGTGCGCCACCACCGCCCGGCTCTTTTTTTTTTTTTTTTTTTTTGAAACCTTGTATTTTCAAAAGACTATTAAGAAAAGGGATGTCACAGAGTGGAAGAAAACTATTGCAAAGCACATTGCTAAATACATAAAGGAACTTTATTTAAAGAATATTACAAACTGATAATAAGATAAACCAATAAAAATGGAAAAAAAACAAGAAGATATTCAAATAGCCAATGAGCACATAAAACGGTGGCGAGTATCATTAGTGATAAAGAGAATGAAAATTAAAGCCACTTTGTCCTCTACTTCTCTACTGGATAAGGAAGACAAGGTCTTACCTGGATCAGATGTGTTGGCATTGTGATGATACAGGCTGACAGTGAGGTTCTTAGAAGGCCACGGAGAACGTAGAGGAACTTGGTAAGCCAGAGGCTGTTGTCACAGTTTTCTGTACAGCAAATGTCATCTCCCCATAATGGTGAGCCAAGGTTCTGAATTCCTATTCTTAAAATGTTTTTCTGTTTTTTCTAAAAGACAGTGAGAGGAGGTAAATACATAGTTACTGCTTATAAATATAGCACTTCTTTATCTACTAGTTCTTACGTAAACTCACAGTACCAGACAGTAGATGTGGTACAAGCTGATGCAATCTTTGTAAGAAGAGAGTATCTAGAACATGCTTTAGATTATAATTGTATAAAAGAAAGTAGGAAAAAGCCAGTCATCAACTGTTGTTACATAAACAGTTCCAGCTACTCAGGATACTGGTGCAGGCCACTGACTGAGTGTAGGTGTTCAAGGTCATCCAGCAACACAGCAAACACTGTCTATTAACAAATGGAGAGGTTTTTTAAAAAAATTTTTTTTTGAAAACTTGAAGGTCATGATAATAATCCAATTTGAATTTTGTCCAAGGATTCTGTTTGAGACAGTTAAAACAACAGACAAATACTATGTGTTGTGATGCTTGCCTGTATTCCTAGCATTTGGGAGGTAGAGGCACAGGATTAGCCTCAGTTCAAGGCCAAAGTAGTCTATAAAACAAGTGCCAGGCCAGCCAGGTGTATAAAGTAAGACTTGGTCTCTGAAACAAACAAAACAAACAAATAAACAACAATAATAGTAAAATCCCCAAATAATATTAGACATTGGAGGTAATGGTAGAGAAAAAGGTTAATTCAGAACCTTACAAATGTATTCCTAGCATTATAAAATTCTACATCTCTTCCAATGAACCATGAAGTCTATATTACTCATCTAGCTTTCTATCACCTGCTCTGTGAGCTTTTGTTTGAAAGGTGTTTACAGCTTTAAAACTTTTTGGTTTTATAATTTATATTTGCCTCTAGTTTTTTTTTTTAATTGGAGTTGTTTTTACTAATTTACTAATTTAAGTTCAGTGTTTTAACACTTAGCATATGACTTTTAGAGACTACTGACATTATGGTTAAAATAATGGTGCCAAATAATTTTTTTTTAATAAAATATTTTAAAAAAGGATATTCCAGCCGGGCGGTGGTGGCGCACGCCTTTAATCCCAGCACTCGGGAGGCAGAGCCAGGCGGATCGCTGTGAGTTCGAGGCCAGCCTGGGCTACCAAGTGAGCTCCAGGAAAGGCGCAAAGCTACGCAGAGAAACCCTGTCTCGAAAAAAACCAAAAAAAAAAAAAAAAAAAAAAAAAGGATATTCCAGGTGGTGGTGGCTCACACCTTTAATCCTAGCACTCGAGAGGCAGAGGCAGGTGGATCTCTGAGTTCAAGGCTAGCCTGGTCTACAGAGCAAGCTCTAGGAGAGGCAATGGGCAGGGCTACACAGAGAAACCCTGTCTAAAAAAAAAAAAAAACCCACCAAAAAACAAAAAAAGCAAGATACTTGTCAATAAGTATCTGACAACATATGTTTACAAGTTCTCGTTTGGGTTATTCTAACTGAAGAAATGTTTTGTAAATGCGTTCCTTAGCAACCTAGCAGTATTTCTGGGTACAAAAAAGAGGTGTACACAAAACATGGAATATGCAAGTATTTGGAAGATCATTATTACATTTTCGATGGAATAAAGAAGGCATTCCTTCTTTTTTTCTTCCTTCCTTCCTGCCTTTCTTTTTTTTTTTTTTCAAGACAGGGTTTCTCTGTATTGTTTTGGTGCCTGTCCTGAATCTCGCTCTGTAGGCCAGGCTGGCCTCGAACTCACAGAGATCCACCTGGCTCTGCCTCCCAAGTAAGGTGTTCTTTCTTAAAGCCACAATTTCAGGTATGTGCCAGTTTAAATGAGCTTTCTGAGGAAACAGGGCCCTAAAATGTATCACTCGCTGTTGCTATAAAATAGCACTAAACATTATTAAGCCACAGTGATTATTAATCAGGTAAATCCATTTTCTTAATAGAGGAGATAAAAATTGAGTCTGTGCATTCCCTTTATAAACAGAACTTATTGACAAAGGGCGATAGTGCAAAAGAATCTAAACATTTGAAAGCCCAAGAGGACAAAAGTATTTAGGTAGGGGAATAAAACAGACGAGGAGTTTGGACTATGTAGTAGGTGTAAGATTCTGTATATACAGTCACTTCTTGGTATCCCTGGGGGCTCTCATTCTAAAGATTGCTTTGGATTCCCAAACCTATGCATGTTCAAGTCCTTTATACACAACAATGAAATAATTGCATATAATATAGATATTTACCAATCTACTTTAAATTATCCCTGGGATAAGGAATTATAATATACAATACAATATAAATGAAATTATGTAAATACTAGTTATACTGAGTTGTGTAGAAACCTAGCATGAGAAAACAATGTATATGTTCGGTATAAATGAAAGTTTTCAGCTGCTTTTAATATGTTATAATCTTGGTCATGAAGTGTTTAATTGTATTTGTGTATCACCCAGAAAGATGAAGTGAAAAGATGCATGGGGAAGATATTAGAAGCACAAATATGGGAGGCGGCTACAGAGAGGACACAGGGGTTTAGAGTGGGTGTTACTCTTGCAGAGGACCCCCCTTTTCCTCCCAGAACCTGCATGTGTAGCTCCCAACCAGCTGTAACTCCAGCTCCGGGAGATCTGTGCCTGACTCATACATACATAAGCATACACACATGTGCATGTACGTGCATGCACACACACATTAAAATAAGATAAACCTTACTACAATTATTAAAAATAAAAGTACAACTATGTTTCTGGCAAATTATGTGAAATAAAGTGAAAAGATACTTCCTTTGTTACTCAGAACTTACATTTAAGTAAACTGGTAAAAACCTAAGGCCTGCTTTGTTACTGCTACACTTGTTATCTCATGGTAGCAGGCCTAAGTTAGTTTCTCGATAGAGAGAACAATGAGGAAATAGAAACAGGGAATAAAAGCTGGAGGCATGTCTCAGTGGCGTAGTACTGGCCTAACATGTGCAATGCCCTGGGTTCAAGTCCTAGCACTGCAATGCTAGCAATAAAGAACTGAAATAAAGAACCAATTGAAGGACAGATCAAACAGCTGTGAGAATGAAATGTGAAGGTAGAGGAGAGCAGTGTCCAGAACCTAGAGATGACTGGTCTTTCAGTACATGGTCACTACTACCTACTATTGAGGCACAAAGTAGCTACTAAATGTTTAAAAACACTTTTAGACATGGACTAAGGAGTCACAAATGCCTTGTGACTGACATGTACTATCATATATACATAGAAAGAATGAAAACACTGAGTCAAATAATGAATGAATGATAACATCTCTAAGTGCACATCAGAATAAAAATGAACATAATACTTCAACATAAAAAATATATTTTCATAAATATAATGGTATTTGCAGAAACAAAAGCTGAATCTCTCGTGTTATCTCAGATATTAGTTTTTAAAATACAAAATGTAGCTGACAGTTACACAGTAAATACATTGATTCCCATAAGAAAGAATATCTAATGTTTAATCTACTATGCCAAGTTAAAAGAATCAATGTTCAAATAATATTATAATACAGTTTTAAATATTTCCACCCAAATATATTTATAGATGAGCTACACAATTTAACTTACTACCAAGGTTAATTATAGATTACAGAAAATAGATAATAATCTCTTTTATAGAGCGTGTTTTAACTGTTTTATTCAACTAGTTCAAATTATTTGAAAGTGCAAAGGAGTGAAAATTTCTCTTTCAAAAGTTGGACTCACTTCACTATCAGAATATTTTTTTGACCCAAGAACACCATTGCTTAAAAAGAGCACCTACTTGCCTTTCCTGAACTTGTCTGCAGTTTCTGAGACAGATGTACAGACCAGGGAACGTGGCAAGCAACACACTCTATGAGTTAATTAATACCTTAGTAACGACACTGTAGTTCTAAGAAATAGCAAGTTGACTTTTCAATGACTTATTGGTATATTTAAATGTAATTTGAAAATTCTAAGCATTTTTGGTATTCACTATAGAAACATTCACCTCAATTCTGTCTGGTCTTTATGGAAGTTAGCTGTTACACAGCCTCTCACCACCAGGGAACTAAATGTGCTCCATTTTATTTTCTATCCATTTTCAAGAATAAATCAATTGTTTCTTGAGAGTGTTGTGCTTTTTCCACACCCAAATAAACAAGGAAACAATCTTGATTTTGTTTCAACACGTTAGTTACTAAGGATTCTTAGGTTTCTTTCTAAGGTGCTTATGTACATATTCCTTAGCGAAGAATAAAGTGATTCCTGTTAGTCTTTTGCGTTTTATAAATTTCTGGCTTTCAGAAGAGGTGTCATCATTCTGCAAGAGCAGAAGCTCTGCACACTGCACCATAGGAACTGTTATGACATGCCTGTTTCCATAGCTACCACCGCAAGTGGGGAAAGGTGTCTGTCAGGGACCAATTTGCCTCTCCAGACACACACTGGCACCAAAAGAAGAGACGGAACCCATAAATCTCAGCTAGGACCAAAAACTGCAGCAATAAGGAATGAAGTAAAACTGCATTAAATACCAGCGGTCACTACAAACACTATTGGAAATACTAAAACCTATCTATAAATGCTTTCCAGATACACATAAATAGTTTAAGCCTGCTATTAAACTGGCAATCAAATCAATTTAAAAATTTATTTTGTGATGGAGAAATTATTGAATATACAAGTAAATTGATAAAAAAATTAAAATTTATGAATTGACAGCAAATAAAGATAAAGATGCTAAAAATTAGTTTCTAGCTTCTTTGTCTTCATTAAAAACAAATGTAGAGATACACTTGTTAAAATAACATACATATCTTAAAGTAATACAATAATACAAACCTTTTTATGTCAAGTGCAATTAAAATAACTGAGAAAAATCTTTGGAAGGAATGATGTTTAACAATAAAACTTCCTCATTTGTTTAAATTAAACTAAGTGGAACATCTTCAGTAGTGGGAATTTGGAGAAAGTGGAAAATTAGAGGTACAGAGACCAGTTATGCTATAAAATATAACAAAAACATCTTTTATTCAATGAAACAATTCAAAATATAATGGAACAAGTCATAAAATCTTGTGGTAATGCTTACACATATGGGAATTTAGAATTAAGGTTTGAATGACAGAAATAACATTTTAATAGAAAAATATGAACCTGGTAGTGTTAGAAATAATTAAAAAGCATAATTACTTATTAATCTCAGAAGCTATAAATAAGTATTTAAAGACAATCAGCACTTACAAAGCATGTGATTGTTTTGTGTGTATCCTGAGAACCCAGCCAAAACTCTGAATACACCCAAGTACTTCCTACCCATTTACACTGTCTGTGAAAACAGGGTGCACATTATTGATTTTCCTGAGGCTCTCCAAGCATGCCCCAGAGATTTGAAAACAACATTCTACACATGACTAAAGAAGGCTTTGGAAGGACTCATACCTGGGGATTAGAGCCATCAAATCCTTCAGTATAAATGACGTTCTGGATGAACTGAAGCAGATTCACGTAGCCTCGGGACAAAGAACTGTTGGTAAGAAGTGGTTCAAATACATAAATGGGCTTACTACACAGAAGTAAAATATCTATTCAATAATAGTAAGTAAACAATTAAAAGTATGAATTTATTGGAATGTTTAAGTATAAAAAATGCATCAAATTGATGTCAGATAATCTAAAATATGAAGCCAATATGTCAAAAGGGAGCAAGTTACATCATCTCATACTAAATTGCTTAATTTTTGACATTATGGGAGGATAAAAATCTGTGGAGACTGAGATGACTTAATTATGTCGGGCTTAGTTAACTCCCAGAAAATTAATGATTTAATGAAGCAACCTAAAAGATGAAGCCACCATAGCTTTTCAAGAGTAATCATACATAATTAACACATAGTTAATGAACTGCTAAGCCACACACTCCCAAATCAATGTCCTGGTCACCTGAGCTCATCTTCCATCAAAGTTTTAATTTTCTTAGAACAATCTGCTAAAATAACTTAATAATTTGAATTTTTAGGACACATTAAGACAAACAGCGTAATCTACTAAATTTATTGTTTACTCACTTCTTTTGTTAAAAGAAGATGCAAAAATAAATGCATGGATTTAAGAAGACATCTAAATTATTTCTCAAATGGTAAAGCATTGTTTATTACTTTAAAAAAGTAAAATAATTTTTTAAGGTGCACTTGGGTCTTAAAAAGAACACTTGAGATATATCCCTTGTAAATGTTGTGAGATGTTTCAGGGAAAACTTAGAGAGACTAAAGAACACCTGCTTCCTGAGTGCAGTTAAGAAGTGCAGCAGCCCATTTGCTTAGTCTGCAACATCAATATAAGTTGACTCAGCAAAAATACATGTACATCTCAGTACATGTGTGCGCTCCTGAACAGCTGCCACTGACTCCAAAGTCCCTATCTTGCAGAAACAGAATGAACACGAGAAAAGAAAGCTTTTCTGTACAAAACAAATGTGACTCCAGGAGATGAAGGGCTGCAAAGCATAGGTATGTTTCATGTGGTTACCACACTCTTCAGGGACAACACAGGCTATGTGGACATGACTTTCTACTTTTATGTGAAGAACATGCCTATAAATAACTGTGTAAGGACAATTTTGTAAGTGTCCTGTGTCAGCACACATTTGTTTTGGTTAGTTCAACTTTCAGAATACAGTGCTATTATGTGAATGCAATGGATGCAATTTTCATCTGGGTAAATTACCTTTACACAGGGGGGCTAGATCTGCTTTAAGATCCCAGATTCTGAAATACATTGCAGCTACCAATCTGATGAATCTCACTATGGGTTGAAGGAGAGCATATGTACACCCAGTCCCTCCTAATGCATTAACAGAGCCTCTGAATGTCCTCTACTTTTATCCATGTTGTAGAATACAGGATTCTTTTTCAAGGTTAAACAGTACTCTGCTACACGTTTGTGTGAATACCATATTTTTCACTTATTTGCTGATTTTCCTGGTTGTAATGAACACAGAATGCAGCTATCCTTTCAATACACTGAATTCATTTCTTTAGATATAAAAGTAGCACTAGTAGATAACAATAGTTGTACTTTGAATTTTGTGATGAACTGTCATACTGTCTAATAAGTTTATACTAATTTCTACACCTACCAAGTTTACAAAGATTTCTTTTCTTTACATTTTCACCAATACTAACCCTTTACCTTGTTGATAACAGCCACTGTAATAGTGGCAAGGCAACATCTCATTGGGGCTTTAATATACATAATGATACATAAATGATGAAAAATATACATAATATACATACTCCAATGACTAGCAATATTGAGGTTTTTTCCCCCTCATAGCTCTGTTGTCTACTTGTATGTCTTTTTTTTTTTTTTTTTTTTAAGAATACTGTCTATTCAGGTCCTTTGCCTGTTTTTAAAATCGACTTTCTTTGACATTGAATTGTTTGTGTCCATAAAAATATGAGGTATTAAGCCAGGTGATGGTGATGCACGCCCTTAATCCCAGCACTTGGGAAGAAGAAGCAGGTGAATCTCTGTGAATTCGAGGCCAGCCTGGTATACAAAGTGAGTTCTAGGACAGGCTTCAAAGCTACATAAAGAAACCCTGCCTTGAAAAACCAAAAAAGAAAAAAATAAGTATTAAGCTCTCTCTCAGATGTTCTCTCTCTCTTTCATTTTCCCCTCTAATTCCATAGATTGTCTCTTGATCTTGTTCAATGTTTCATTTTGGAGAATGTAAGTGAAGTCATTAAACCATATATCTGAATCACTTTATTTATTACCAACATAAAACAATCCACTAGCTAATGATGCTTAGACTCTTTTAATAAATTTCTTGATTTAATTGAAGTTCTTAGAGAGTAAAGTTTTTGCAAAAATAAAGAAGTACATTTATGTATAATAATTACTAATATTAACTGAATGAATAAGATGAAATCATTTAAAATGAGATTTGTGCCTTACTAAAATACTAAGCACTACTAGTTACTTCATATCGCTATTCTATGTTTATAAAAACCAAAACATATATACATATTGATAAAAATAAGTACCTGTGTGTGTGTGTGTGTGTGCGCGCGCGCGTGTGCGCACGCGCATGTGCACATGTGTCTAGTGATAGGAGTTGGCAAGAAGGAAAGAAGGATATTTGTGTACAAATAAGACAATGGCTTTGTTATTACTATTTCCAAACATTTAACAAAGTTTTGGTATTTCAAATATTTAAAGGCTGTCCACTTTTTAAATTTATTATTTACTTTTATTTTATGTGCATTGGTGTTTTTATCTGCATGTATGTCTGTGTGAGGGTGGAATTGGAGGTACAGACAGTTGCTATGTAGGTGCTGGGAATTGACTCTGGATCCTCTGGGTCCTTTGGAAGAACTGCCAGTGCTCTTAACATCTGAAGTATGTTTCCAGACCCATAGCAGCCCATTTTGAATCACACATACTATTTTGCTTTACTCATAATTTTAAACAATTTTTATATTAAAATGAGCTAACTTCAGTTCTATGTGTTTAAAGCTATCACAATATATAGAAATATAAAGCATACAAATAGTAATTTGAACTAATTTCTAAGATTTATTTTTATTAGTAGTGTTTTGCCTACATGTGCATGACTGTGCCTGAGGTCAGAAAGTGGCATTAGATTCTCTGCAACTGAAGTTCTAGATGATTATGAGCTACCATGTAGGTGTTGGGAATCAAATTCCAGTTCTCTGCAAGAGTAACAGGTGCTCTCAATCATTCATCTAGTTCTGTAGTGTTGGAACTAATTTTGAACCTTAAAATACCAAGTACTTAAAATTATTCTTAGTTTCACAAATGAAAAACAGGAAAAAGATACATTTTTGTCTTTAAAAAGCTAACTATTTTGTCTGTTAAAAGATGAGTTACAAATATAAAATAGAATATGGAACCACTATAAGTAGTTGATAAGAGAAAAATTTACAGGCAGAAAGCAGACTCTTGGTATACTATTTAAGAAGCCTACCTGATTTTAGTCATTTCAGTTAATAAAATGCTTGGTACACAGTAAATACTGAAGAGACTTTGGTGTCACAGCATTTGATGGATACCTTGTGATAAAAGTACAGTCATCCTTGTTTTGTGATTGGGAAATTTAAGGCTCATTATAGGATAAATGACTTGTCCAAGGTTATATATCATTAAGTGACAGAAATGGCATGTACAATGAAAATATTTGCTGGGCACGGTGGTGCATGCCTTTAACCCCAGTGCTTGGGAGGCTGAGGCAGGCAGACCTCTGCTGAGTTTGAGGCCAGCCTAGTCTACATAGTGAGTTTCAAGTAGCTAGGGCTATATAATGAGCATGTCTCAACACAAACCAACCAAACCAACCAAACCAACCTGAAAACATTCTAAAGCTGTGACAATTTGCTCTTTCAATTACACTATGTTAAAGTCTTTGAATGAAGTGCATAGGGAGTCCAAGGGTTCACAAACACTGCTGTGGTTCACAGGAACTTAGAGTATGGTTTCATTCAACTCATTAAATGAAGCACTCCAGATTGCAGTTGTAAGGAGAGAGCTTCTAGCTATATCTGTGAAATCTTCACCAACCTGCCTCGGTTGTACTTAACTTGGAGTGTAATAAAATAAGGGAAATTTCCATACTAATTGATAACTGAGCACACACAGCAAGAAGGCCTTGGGAGGCCTGGGAACTAGCTCTGGCTTCACCTGGGCCAACAACTCAGCTCAAGGTGCGACACAGGCAACTTCAAATTTTCTCTTCTCTCTGTTACCCACCATGATTTTAAAATTATATGGTTCAAGAATGCTTTTTCTCGCCGGGTGTTGGTGGCGCATGCCTTTAATCCCAGCACTTGGGAGGCAGAGGCACGTGGATCTCTGTGAGTTCAAGACCAGCCTGGGCTACAGAGTGAGCTCCAGGAAAGGCGCAAAGCTACACAGAGAAACCCTGTCTCGAAAAACCAAAAAAGAATGCTTTTTCTCATTAAAGTAATTTGCTAGGATTTAAAAATAAGAAACTCTGGCCACTTAAATATGTGTTTAACAATCTAATAGAAATATTGGAGAGAAAAGCAGAGCCATATAGAAAATTAAGACTGTCATCCTCAAAAATTATCACCCATAATTACAAATTAATTAAAATAAAGATGAAGCACGTTTTCATATTATTTTGAAAGCCAATAGGAAAATAAAATTTATCTTACCAAAGTTCTATTTGCATGTGTACTTCAAGAATTCAACTACGACAAGTAGTAAGAACACTTTATAAGGCAATAGGCACAATACATGCCTCAACTAATTGTATAAAATACTTTGCTGAGCTAAAGGTCTATTAGCATATAATTTGCATGTGATTCCAGAGATTGTGAAGTCTTTTCACAAGTAATTTTCAAGTTAAAAATTTCATTAGGATTACCCTGAAGGCTGTCATTTACTGGCTTTTCTTTTCCTGCTTTTCACCTACGAATGAATTTGAGTCTGACTATGGAAGCTCAACTAAGAGAGAAGGACACAGAGTCTAAGAATGCA